TTTTTTTTTTTTTTTTAGTACCAGAGATTGAACTCGGGTCCTTGCGCTTGCTCAGCAGGCGGTGAAACCACTGAGCTAAATTCCTGGCCCAAAAGACCTGCTTTTTTTATTTTTTATATTTTTGGTTTTTTTACTGCCTGCATTTCTCTAGGCACTGGCCGGAGGCCTGTGACCCGATTACAAGGTCACAATTCTCAGAACCCGCTTCTCCCCGCTGTTGCGCCCACCCTGTGACCCCAGCAGCCCCGGCTGCTGCCTCTCCCAACACCTGGCTTCCCTGCCCCGCCCCAGCCCTACTGGGAGGAGGAAAGGAGCGTCCCCTCCCTGGTGCCCTGCTGTCTTGAGTCACCTCAAATTCACCCGCCACCTCAGGAGGACCTGAGGGAGGGTTCCCTCTGCCTTCCGCCTGTGCCACCCTGGGCTGCCAACTCAGTCGGCGTGGGAGCTGCCTGGGAGACCCCCATAGGCTGCTCGGGGGTGAGCGACCGCCTCTGTCCCCCTCTCCCCGCTGTCCTGCTCTCGGCTCCCTGGCCATGGCCGGGGCAGCTGCTCCTGCGCCAGCCCCTTCCTGCCCTGGAGCGAGAGAAACCTTCCTCTTCTAGTGTGGAAAACTGGGGGAGGGGACCTGTGGTTTGCCCTCTTTCCCAGAAGCCCTTGCTGCTAGTCCCCAAGAGGACTCTGCCCAGCTCTGTGGCGGGCGCCTCCTCCACCCCTTTCTCGCTGTGGCCTAGGTTCCAGCCTCAAGTCCCACCCAGTTTGTCCCCCCCCCCCAGACACGGGGAGCGCAGCACCTTGTCCCCCCATGCCCGTGTCCCAGGGCACCTGGCAGTGGAGATGCGCCCTGCCCCTCCCTGCCCACTGTGTCCCACCCCCCACCCCCCCACACTTGCCCTCCAGTGTCCCCTCCTGTCTGAGGATGGGGGAGCAAGACTCAGGGTGGGTGTGGCCTGGGGTGGCTGCTGACTCTGCCTTGGTCTCCCCAGCTGTGTGAGAGGTGGGATTCCTCCCAGTGCCTACAGGGTGGGTGGAGCCCTCGGGAGGGGATAACCTGAGGGTGACCGGGCCTGATGCAGCCTTCCTGGCCCATGAGTAGCCTCCTGGGTGAACAGGGCCAGCCAAGGGGGCCTCACCTCAGCCCCAGGATGGGATGCTGAGCAGAGGATGGTGGTGGTGGGGGTTCGGGCAGGCAGAGCTTTCCGGTGCGCGGGGAAGGGGGGGCAGAACAGCGTCACGCTGCCATTTATGGGGTGGGCACAAGCGTGTGCGTACGTGTGCATGTACGGGCACAACCCACACTTCGTGTGGTCTCACACACACAGCTGCCCACATCATCTGTGCATACAGACTCACGGTCATTTAAAATCACACATAGCAAACCCACTGCTCTGGGAGGCTGAGGCAGGAGGGGACCACAAGTTCCAGCCCAGCCTGGGCAACTTGGTGAGACCCTGCCTCAGAATGAAAAATAAAAAGGGCCGGGGATGCAGGTCAGTGCTCAGTGCTCAGTGCTCAGGCCTGGGTCCCCTCCCCAGTGCCACTCTAAACAAGCAGAAGCTCCCACCTGTACACCAAGCTCACCCCATGATCTCCAGGGAGTGGGCCCACACACCGCAGGCTGCCCACTCGCACCCCAACCTCGGCCAGCCTGGCGGGGCGGGGACAAGCCCCAGAAGGCACCAGGAGCCTGGCTCCACCCTGCCGGGGCCACACAGGATGGGACAAGTGGTGACCGTCGTTCGGCCCCAAACCCGTGTGAGGCAGAGACTCGGCAGCCCATGGGTGCAGAGAGAGGCTGTGCACTGTGATCACACTCTTGAGTGTGCAGGACGCACAGCCGTGAGGCAGAAGGCGGGCGCCTGGGCGCTCAGGCCAGTGCTTCCTTTCAGGAAGGGCCGCCTGGGGTCCCCAAGGACCGAGTGTCGCTGACGATTGGGTTCCGAATAGTTAGGTTGATTCGGTGTGACTTTTGCTCCAGGGAGCCATTTGTATAAAAGCAGCTCACAGCCAGGGGCCGTGGTGCACACTGTGACCCCAGGTACTGGGGAGGCTGAGGCGGGAGGATGGCAGGTTTGAGACCGGCCTGGGTAATTGGCGAGATTCTGTCTCAAAAGATAGAAAGGGCTGGGGGTGAATGCTTGCCCAGCATACATGAGACCCAGTTCCATGTCCAGCGCAGGAAAAAACCAAAAATAAACCAACAACTCACGTGCTGTTCTGGGTGTCCGGCCGCTTGCCAGGCTAGAACGGGGAGCCGGGAAATCCCTGTCCTGCAGATTTTGGCCACCGACCACAGGGCGGCCCGGGTTGCCCGCCCAGCCACACATAGCCAGGCCGAGGCTGGGCAGCGTACGGGGCAGCGCTCGGCTGTGGGAGGCCGAGGACGGGGGAAGTACCGGCCCGGACCGGACATTGGCGGTTTCAGGAGCGGAGCTGGGGCTTCCCGGGCGCTGAAGGGAGAGCGCGTAACCGCCGTCCGGCTGGATTTTGTGACGCACTGCCTGGTCTCCTCAGCTGGTTAACCGTGTGTTTGGTTTTTTAAAACCCACAAAGAACGGCAAGGCCATCCTTACGGTGGCCACCGTGCGCGTGGCTGAGGTCAGGGCCACGGGGCCACGCAGCCTTTGCCGGCCCGGCCTCTCCCCGACCGTGGGCTGCTGGTCCCCGGGCCTTCTCCCTGCGTCGTTTCTGACCTCCGGTCTCATGAGGCGGGACTGTGTTGTCCTACGATGAGGAAACTTAGGCACAGGCCGCGAAGGCGCTGGAGTGTGGTGTGGGTCCCGAGCGTCCAGCGAGACCCAGTTCTGTGGCTGTCATGCCCCACATCCTTCCCCAGGCTGTGCCGCGGAGGGTCCGGCCAGAGGCGCTGCAGCCACACACTGAGGACAGCGCCACCTCTTCCAGGCCGCTTGAGGTCCATCCGGCTCGCTCCCTGAACCCCAGGCTGCCCCTCCTGTTCACTCTCAGGGGGGCTGCACCCTTGCGGCTGGCGGCTCCTAACTCTGCAGCGTGCTGGGGTTTCTGCCCTGCCTGCCCCACCCTGCCTGGCTCCACTGCACTCATGTTCCCTATACTCAATTCTACATCCCCATCTCAGTAAAAAGCATCACCAAGCACTACCTGTACCCTGGATGTTGTCTAGGGTGCCCCTCCTCCCTTATCTCCCTCAGATGTCCACCTGAGCGTCTGTCCTGCTGCTCTTCTGGTGCAGCAGAGGCGCGGGGCGCGCTTGGCAGGTGCTGACATCTAGGGATCACGTGGGCGAACGCCCCCAGTGTCGGCCATATGGGCATTTGCAGAGTCCTGGCACCCTCTGGTGGCCAGCGTGCAGGCACTGCAGGGCCGACTCCTGCAGGATTCATCTGGGCCGTGGATCCCTGGTGAAGGACAGCGTGCAGTCACCACGGTGTGCTTACCCCGAGCAGCAGCAAGAGCCCGAGGGGCAGCTCCATGCCTCTGTGCGCAGGAGGGGAGGGGAACCCGCACCCTGATGGGACCTCCTGGCTCGCGTTTATAACGTCAAATGTAACACAACTGTCACCCTCTCCCTACGGCACAAGTGACCTCTGGCTCGGCGTCCCCGTCTGTGAAGCGGTGGAGTAGAAGTCAGAACGTGGCAATTCCTGGGTTTTCGGGAAGCAGCGCTATTGACATGGGGTTGTGGGCACATGCTGAGGGTCCCTGCCTGTGAAGCCACCTCTCGATCCCCGTAGAGAGCAGCAGTCTATCCCAGCAGATTCTGGAATCCGTGGGGTCTTCTGGGGAGAAGCTGGCTCCCCGTTCCCGTCAGACCCCCCCCCCCAGGACATCCGGGAAAGCCCCACCAGAACGCCAGAGAGCATGCAGAGGAAGGAGCCAGAGGACCACCCGCAGCGCCCTCCAGCTGAGGCACCGGCAGCTCTCTGTGGACAAATGGCAGCCTGGATGGCAGCCCGCAGGAGAACTGAGGGCAGCACCAAACACGGAGGAGAGTGGGGACCTGCGAGGGGCAGATGGCAATGGTGTCCAGAAGCAGAGGGTGGGGACCAAGCACCCAAGCTGGCTCTGCCGAGTCTGCAGCCCGGGGCTGCAGAGGAGAGGCTTCCTGGGCTTTTTAACAAGGAAGCCAGGCGATCTGCAGTGGGGACAGAGGGGCCAGGCTGCTGTGCCCGCACTGGGGCAAGGAGCTCTCGGGGTGGGACAGCAACGGTCCCCTCCATGGCATCACAGGAGCCCGAGAGGGCGGAGTCCAGGACTGGAGGACAGCAGGCGGTGCCTGAGGCTGCGCCAGCCCGGCAGGGCATCAGCAGAGGGCACAGCGGACCTCGGCGCACACAAGCCACCATCTCCTCTAGCAGGGCAGGGCCGGGCCAACTCCAGAGATCAGAGCGCACCAGGCCTCAGTGCGGCTGTTGTGAAAACATGTGAGAGCAAGCCTGGGGAGAGGAGCTGCAGGACCCCGTGTGCCCCGCCTGCACACCCCCGCCTTCCAGGGAGCCACCAGCCCGAGAGGCCATGGCATGCCTTTCCCTTGGGTCCGGCAGCCATCCCCCAGCAGGAGCCCGAGGAGGCGCAGGGTCAGGTGAGTCCTGGGGATGCACCCCACACCCTCTGCGGCCTCCCTTCACCTGTCTGCTGAGCCAGAGGAGAGGCAAGGGGCACCGGGCGAGGCTGCTCTGCGTATCCTGCAGGGCCCCACAGGCCGGAGCTAAGCCCCGGGCTCTGCTTCCCATCAGCCCGCGCTGCCTCTGCCTCTGCAGCCACCGTGGCCAGCAGCCGGGTGCACAGCTCAGGGGAGAGGCCACGCCCAGCGCCTCCCAGCTCAAACATCTGGGTTTGCTGAATGAATTACAAGCTCTAGGTACCGGAAATTCTGGACTGCAGACTTTCAGTAGTTTATTAAAATGTGCACTAAAAACTGACTAGAGGACTGCTGAGGAGACCGGCTGGGGATCTGAAAGGTCAAGGTGAAGAATGGCAGGGGACACGGATGCCCCGACAATGGTCAGGGGCACAAAGGTCACAGGGATTGGAGAGCAGGGGGCAGGTGTGCAAGCCCAGCCCCCCCTGGGTAAACTGAGGCCACCCACTACTACCCAGCAAGAACTGTGCTACCCGGAAGTGGTCTGAGAACGGCTGCTGGGCTACTTTATTTCATATAAAAGTTACACTGGCGGAGAGGGGGGAAGGCAGGTGTGCTTCTGCATGCACCTGCAAGTCTGTCTCGTCACCGGACAGTTAGTGACTGTTGAACCGGGTACCAGATACCTCACGCTGAAGCCCAGCACGCTTGTCCCCGAGACACACATGTGCAAATGCATGTGCAAAACAGGCTCCGCCCGCTGTCCTGGACGCCCACCCGCCACGCCTGTCCCTCCGGGGACTCGGCAGAGGTCCCGACAAGGGCAGGGGACAGACCCCCGAGCCCCGCTGCCCAGCCTGAAGTGTGGGCACCAGCAATGCAGGCAAGTCCCCGGAGGGGCCATCTGCCTCCTGGTGTAACGTCAAGCTTACACCAAGGGTCCAACCCGATCACCTGTGCCCAGACAGAGAACAAATATAAAAATGGAAGCAACCCCTCTGTGCCCTCCTGGCCATCACCAGGCCTGTGCCTGCCTAGCCAGACCGAGGGCCGAGGGCCAAGGGCCGCCCGGCACCCGTCCTCACTGGGCGCTGCTTCTGCCCACCCACCCAGCACCCGCCTCCCAGGGCCAGCCTCACACGGCTGCTTTGCCTGGAAGCACGATTCAGCTCCAGGCCTTCAGACTGGATCTGCAGGGAAGCAGGGTGGGCACCGAGGGCCACAAAGGGTGACTGTTCTTTGGATCGAGATTCTCTCCAGTCTGGAATACATTCATAGACACCGCAGGGGACTCGTATGCTCGCCCCTCTTCCCTGAAATGTCGACTTCTGGAAGTAGCTTGTCTGCTGTACACAGCCAATAAACGTGACACTGAGGAAATGACACTGCCAACGTGGACACATGCACACTGCACACACAGACACACATGGGCACGCACAGCTCACTGGGAGGAGGCTGCCTCGGAGTGCTCGGAAGCCTGAGCTCAGGCTGCAGTCTCCATGGAGACGCCCCTCCGGCGGGGGGTGCCAGTGACGCAGGGCAGGGCGCTCAGGAGACGCTGCCACGTGGACACTTGTGGCCACACAGACTCGGGCCCAGCTGGAGTGTCCTGCCCAGCCCCGGGATGCAGGAAGGAGGCGCCCAGCCTCCGCTCTGGCCGTACCCTGTGCCCCACATCCACGCAGCTGCCACCCTCCTGGTCACAGGCCCCGCAGACCCAGCTGGTGGAGTCTCGGGCAGCTCACACGGAGAACTCTGGGCTGCCTTTCCTGGGCCGCGCCTGCAGTCGCTGGAACCGGAAGCCGACGAAGGGGTTCATCCACAGGAGTGAGGGGGGACCCCCAAAGACGGACTTCATCCCTTCCCAGCGCAGCCTCCGCTCCCACGTGGGCTTCTCGCTTTTCAGCCGCTCGATCTCCTGGAAGCAGAAAGAAGAGCGCGGATGGCAGGCGCCTGGCTCACGTGTGCCTCGAGTGCCCGCCAGCCCCCCACTGTGGATGCCGGGGGCGCCCGGCGGGCCCTACCGTCTCGTCGCTGCATATTGAGTGGATCTGGGAGCCAAACATCACTGCGGTGAAAGTGAAGAATAGCAGACCCTCAAGGCACAGGAAGACCAACAGGATTACAGTTACGGGAGGCGAGAAGTCGCTGCACTCTGCAGGCCAGAGCAATGTGTGTGACTGCACCGCCGGCACAGGGCCCTGTCCTCCGGGGATGGGGCGGGCACCCCAGACTGCACACCGCTCGGCCCTGGCCAGCGGCTTAGGGTCTGCCCCCCTGAGTCCTGCCCCCACTCCCGTCCACACTGGCCAGGCAGCGCCCGCTCCCACTCCCACTAGTAGCACCGGCACCGCTGGCAACAAGGGTTTGCCAGCCACCCGGGGAGCCGACCCACACTTCACAGGGACAGGATTCCTTGCCCTCTAGTTGCAAAAATCTGCAAAATACAACTAAAATTACTGAGTAGAAACTGACTACTAAGGAAGAAGAATTACATGGCCTTAGCATAACACCAAAACTTAACCATATTCTTTTTCTAAAAAATTCAATTCCTAAAACAGCAAAGATTCCTTCAAAACGGGAAAGGTGGGCCGGGGATTTAGCTCAGTGGTTTTGCCACCTGCTGCACAAGCGCAAGGACCTGAGTTTGATCCCCGGTACCAAAAAAAGAACCAAAAACCAAAAACCAAAAAAAACCAGGAAAGGTGACTCCCTTTGTGGAACACGGGGCCTAGCTCACCAGTCCACTGTCCCCGGACGCAGGAGATGAACTGCAGGCCGCAGAGGACGAGCGCGTGCACTGAAGACAGGGCGATGTACATCTAGGGGAGGAAGGGGTCAGGGACAGCCCGGGCCGTCCACCCCACACCCTCCCGGGAACCAGGAGGGACTGGCAGACTGACCTCTGCCTACCAGGCATGAGACCAAAGAAACAACTTTACTCAGACCCAAGCAGCGGGGAAAGGACTGTAACGCGTGTCAGAGAAGACGCCACTGCAATGCTGACGGAACACGTGCCCGCCAGCTGGGACCGCTGCTGGTATAGCGGATCCAATCCCCTGTATCGGTCTGTTTACCAATAAAATGAATAAAAGGCAGCCCGGTGGGACTGTCACGCATGGACATCGGTGGTTCAACTGCCTGGCAGTGAGACATCCAAAGTACAGTCCTGTCGTGAAGATGTTATGACATGGGACAAGAACTAAAGCACAGCCCACAGAGTTAGCTCGTGACTCTGGAGAGGCTGGAGGGAAGCCAGGCTGAGGTTACACTCAATCTCCTTGCTCCAGGCAAGGTTCTGGTTAGGGAATTCCGAAGCCAGCCCACCCGCAAAGGAAGTATTTTTACTTACAGTGAAGAGTACAAAAAACCTCTGATTCTTTTCTCCCACACAATTGTTCACCCACGGGCAGTGGTGATCCATTTTCCGAATGCATCTTTTGCAAATACTGAAAAGGAGAATCTGACTTTCAATATTCCATGCTGTGAGGAAACCACAGGTGGGGAGAGACATACTCTGATTCAGCATGCCCAAGACACCCACCGTGCGGCCCACACCTTTAAAGGTGTCAGATAAACATCTGCCGTCGCCAAGGAAAGTACTTCAGGGCTGACAGGTCTGAGCCTAAGTCCCAATGAGACGTGTCCCAGGGTGCCAGGCTGGGCCCACCTCCCAGCACGCTCTGATCGTGTGAGCTCAAGTTCTCTCTCTCAGCGGAAGCCAAGAGTGAACTTTCAGGAAAGAAAAATGCCTGCTGCCTCCCAGCAACTCAGTACCACATGCGGCCTGTGCGCAGGGGTCTCCTCCTGTGGGATTTCACTTTCCCCAACTATCAAAACACCGCTTTTCGGGGCCGAGGATTTAGCTCAGTGGTTCCGCTGCTTGCATCGCAAGCGCAAGGACCCGAGTTTGATCCCCAAAACCCACCGCTTTTCTTTGCTATGGATGGTGCGCCAGAAGTAGCATGGCCGCGGACGGCAGCAGGCTAAGCATTTGGCTAGGGCAGCAGTTTCGTCCCCCGCGGGGACCTTCTGTGCCGAGTTCCTCTCTGACCTGTGCACACGGCACCGTGAATCCAGCAACTGACAAACACTCCCATCTTGGCGTATGTGCGCCTCTCTTCACATGTTGCAGGCCCCATCTCAGGCGGGTAGCCGCGTGGCTGGGGTCCCGCAGAGCTGGGACTGCCCTGCAGTCGCTCCCACTGCAGTCCCCCGGGCCCACCGCCCTCCTGCTCTGCCGAGTGGGCACCACACATCTCTCTCGCTCGCTGCACAGCTGTGCCATCAGTCTGTCAACTCGCATGACGGCTATGACGTCCCCGAAGCCCTCTACGTGGTGTTCCCCTGGAGTCGTGGCAATGGCCCAGCTCACTGCCATGTGCTCCTCCGGGCCGGCCGACCCCGGGCGGGTGGGGAATCTCAGCCCTAGGCCTCCACGCAGGAATCCTGCCCACCTCTAGGAGCCAAGAGACCTTGGGGTCGGGGAGCAGATGCGATGCGGCAGACTGGCGGAGGGGAGAGGTGGACGCTCACAGCGCATGCACCGGCCCAGGCTGAGTTTCTGTTCCCTTTTTGTTTTCTTTGAGACAGAGTCTGGCTCTGCAGTCCAGGCTGACCTTGAATTGATGGCAGTCATCCTGTCTCAGCCTCCCGAATGCTGGGATTGCAGGCGTGCACCACTCCGCTCCACTCCGCTTTCTGTTCCCTTTTTAAAAACCTGGTGTTTGTGAGGACATTCAGAAGGACCGAGCTTCTACACTCAGCATCACACCAGGTCAGGCAAGAGTGACCACACAAGAACCCTTCTGTCGGAAGCCAGGCATGGTGGCATACGCCTATGATCCCAGCATGGTGGGAGGCTGAGGCAAGAGGATTCCAAGACTGTCCCACCTGGGCAACTTAGTGACACTTTGTCTTACAAAAGAAAAGGGGCTGAGGATGTAGCTTAGTGCTAGGTCCTGGGCCTAGTCCCCAGTACTACACAGAGGAGTGCGGGGGTGACTGGGGTGCGGCTCAGGAGGATGCCTGCCTAGCACGCACGAGGCCCAGTGCAAAGCTTCCCCGCCTGTGAGGCCGAGGGCAGCATCGCCCCCGCTGTGGGTGGTGCTCCCTACCTGCAGTGGTGGGCGCGCTCGGGCTTGATGCAGCAGCACTTGGGGCACTTGTAGATCACCTCGCCAGGCTTCAGCTGCAGGCTCTCCATGTACTCCTTTGTCGCGTTCCCCTTGGGGACCGCCCCCTGCCCGGGCGAGTGCAGCATGGGGAGGAGGGAGAGAAAGTACTTGCGTTAGGGTTCAGCTAAGACTTCACACAGCTGCCCTGAGAGCACATGAGTGTGGAAAGTTACTGATGTACGGGGCCGGTTTCATTTTTTATAAAAAGTACCAGGGCTCCCTCGAGCTGACAGATGAGCCCCAGTCTCTCTAGCCTCCTGCAGGGCCTGTAGGAGGCAAGCTCTGTGCTGCGGGAAGGGCTGGCGGGCAGGTGCTGCCCTGGGCTTCCTGTCACGGCCTCCTGCAGGACTGGGGTGCTGGAGAGCAGGGGGAGGCAGACTGGGGTGCAGGAACCCTGTCCGCATGCCATTTACGGCAGCAGCGTCCCAGGTCCGAGCCTCTGCAGGGCTTGGCCGCGAGGGACCGAGAAAGCCGGGCAAGGGCTGCAGTTGTGAGCCGGGCTCCCCGCCAGAGTTGGGGCGGCCCCACAAGGCCCCGCCCCCCAAGAGGCCCGCCCATCACCATTCTGGTGTCTCCTCCCAGCAGCCTGGCTCGGGAGCCACCCCATCACGCCCCCAGCGCGGGCCTCACTTCTCTCCACCTCTTCCTTCCCTTCGCAGTCACCACCTCCCAGCCTGGGGCTGCAGCAGCTCTCCCAGCAGATCACAGGACAAAGGGCCCCAGAATACAGGGTCCTGCTCACACTGTTTTATTTACAGGTGAAACAATGGAATGAGATTCCTTAAGAGTCCCTGAGAGGAAGTCCTGCCCACCCCACCCCACAAAACAACTGCAGCACAGCCTGGTCCTGCGCTTAGGAAAGTCAGCCCAGGTCCACCGGGCCGTGCCCTGGGCGCTCAGCCTGCCTCCTGCAGAGGGCAGAGGAGGTGCTGCCTGCCTGGGAGGCGACTCCGCCCACCTGGGCAGGGGACATGCAGTCTCTCCTTCACTCAGTGACCCCCAGGACCTGCCTGTGGCTGCCACGCCTCACAGGCCCAAAGAGCGTGGAGCCAGAGAGACAAAGCAAGTGAGGGCACCCTGTCTGTCCCTCACCTTCCTAACAGTGGCCCCAGCCCTCCTGCAGCCTGGCCGCTGGGGCTGACAGCAGAGCTGAGCACATGGTGTGGCTGAACAGTGACATCCAAATGGGCAAAGGATGCAGACACTTCTGAGAGATGTGCAAATGCAAGCACAGGAAAATGCTCAGCAGCTTAGCCCTTCAGGAAATGAAAACTGCCAGGTGTGGTGGCACATGCCAGTCAACCCCAGCACTTGGGAGGATGAGGCAGGAGGATCCCCAGGAGTTCAAGGCCAGCCTGGGCTACACAGTGAGTCAGGACCAGCCTGATCTATGTAGTGAAATCCTGTCTCAAATCCCCTCCCCATAAAGAAACCCAAATTGCAACCACAATGAGAACCAGGCGTGGCGCCATACACCAGTGATCCAGCTATTCTGGAGGTGGAGGCAGGACGATCTCAACTTTAAGCATAGCCCGGGCAACTTAGCAAAACCCCGTCTCAAAATGTGTGTAAAGAGAGCAGGAATGGAACTCAGTACAGAGCACCCTGGGTTTCATCCACAAAAAACAAAAAACAACCCAACCACTGTTCCAGAAATCACGGAAAGAAATACATGGAGACACCGGAATTTGGGGAGAATAATAAAAGTTCTACTTGCAAATGGGCGGGACCACCAGAAACCCTTCTTTCTGGTTAGTATCCCTGTGTGCGCCCCTTTGTTCAGCAGTTCCCTTTTTATATCCTTTTTAGCCAATATCTCATCCCTAGTGGTCTTTGATGTATAAATACAATTCCAGTTGCTATTTACAAGTCACAGACACAAGACAGGCCATATACATTGTAAATCCACCCAGCCATTGCAACTTTGTTAGGCTAAGGAAGTTACTGGTTAAAGAGTCAGACAACCATCACCTTAAAGTCACCTTAAACTATATCTTAAAGGAACCCATTACTTACTTTGCTTCTACAACTTAATATTCAATCTGCCAAGTTACCTAAAGCTTTTCCCTATCACCACGAGACACCACTTCACACAAGTCAGTACCAAGACTGGCGAGGAAGCAGAGAAAATGGAACCCACACGCCTGGTGGACCGGAAAACAGCGTCACCCCGAGCTCCCGTGGCTTGCACTGCCTCAGTGCTCAACAGTGCTCCCCAGCTACAGGGGAACAACCCCAGCGCCCTCACTGACGATGGCCACAAGCCAGCAGCGCCCTGCCCACACTGCGAACAGCATGCAGCCGGAAGAGGACCAAGGGTGTGACCGCCCTGCACCACTGTCACCCTCCAAACAGGATGCCGAGGGCAAAAGGGCTACATGCAGGTGACCCCCAGGTGGACGGCAGCCTGGAACAGGTGAGGGGCCGGGCACTGCGGGGTGGTGGAGGTGGCCTGCGGTGGGGGCTGCTGCACCACTCTGCGGGCACTGAGAGCCACTGGCTCTCGGGAGCTGCCGTGGTCAGACAACTGAGAGGACGGACAGCCCGGGCCCCACAGCTCTGAGGAGGCCCTGAAAGGAATTTTAGCAACTATCTCAGGAGACTGAGGCAGAAGTATCACAGGAGCCCACGGGTCTGAGGGTAGCCTGAGCAGCGCAGCGAGACCCTGTGCTACATGGCACTGCTCGGACAAACAGCCCGGGACCACCACGGCTGTTGTGGCCACCTTACTCTGCCCACAACAGGCTCACGCTACGCACCCACAGCCAGGATGACAGAACCTGAGGCGACAGTGACACTCGCCCACACCCTGCCCTGGCGCACAGGGACTCACAGGGTCGGTGAGCATGGTCCTCAGGTGTGACGAGAGCGCCAGCACCAGCAGGCAGTTGAAGACGACCCCGTTCGCCACGGAGTACCAGAAGTCTTTGGAAGGCAGCAGCATGACAAATGTCACCACGAAGTCTGCGTAGACGACCAGGAGCCACGTCATGATGGCGCACACCATGCCGCAGCCGTCCCGGATGAACCACACCTTGTCTGCCGCTTCAGGCTCAGAGGAGGAAGAGGAGGCAGAGTCATAGTTGTCGTTTTCAGTCAGGAGGGGATGGTGCTCGATGTCCCGGAGCCGGTGTCCCGAGGGCTGCATGGTTCCCGGACACAGCCTGGGAAGGGACAGAGCTGCTGAGGCGGGGGACGCGTGACCACTCAGGTTCTCCACTCACTACGTGATGGCCCACGGCGTGTCCTGGCCACTTTACAGAGCCAGCTGGGTACACGGAGCAGAAGGAGACAACGTACACACGTCTACGAGGAGCCCCACCGCCCCGCCCTGCCACCCAGACAACCAGCCGGACTGAGGACAAGACCAAGACCCCAGAGGAGCCTTCCCTCCAGACGGACGCCCTGCCCTGTCGCAGAGACCAGGTGAGAGGCGGGGCCGGCTCCGTGGCCTGGGTCGGAGGAGACAGCATCGAGTCCAGCTCTGCCTGAGCCCTGCCCTGTTGCCTACCCCAAGAGGCCAGTGGTCTTATTTACTGGTCAGCATTGAGGCCGCCTAAGCGTCTGCACTGAAATCCTCCATCTCTCTTCTGGTTACTGGTGGTTCGGGAGTGGTTCTTTCGGGTGTGATCCAGTTTGTATTTGACACTATTACTGTTACTGATTTTACTACTATAGCCAAGGTGACATAGTCATTGCTGTCAATGGTCTTCACCATATGCCAGTATCTAGACTGCCTGAGGGTCATAAACAATACTTTGGCCCATTTCCAAATAACCAAGTACTGGGCCAAATAAGCTGCAACCTCCCCTCCCAATTAAAACAGAGGCAGGGCTGGGGATTTAGCTCAGTGGTTCCATTGCCTGCCTCGCAAGTGCAAGGACCCAAGTTCGATCCCCTGTAGCAAAAAAAAAAACAGAGGCAGCCAGATCCTGGGCAGAAGCAAAGGCCAATAGCGAGCCATATCCACAAGATCTCTGTGCAACAACACTACCCACGATAGCCAAGCAGCAAACCCAGCACAGACAGCGAACAACCCAAACAGACTAGCAAGAACACAAGGCAACAAAATGCCTCCGAACACTCCCAGCTCCCCTGAAGCCAACCCAGGGAGCATTGGGGAGGAGATCATAAGCCACACGACAGAAATGTCTGAACAGACATCTGTCAGTGGAGATAACAAAACAGATGAATAAGGTGCTTGGTGAAGTCAAAAGGAGATGGCTCTGGTAAATGGTCCCAATGAAAAACATGACCAGTGCGTCTAGAGAAGACACTAATAAAAATCTACCAAAGCCAAAGAAAGAGATGCAAATCTGAATGCTCAGCACAGGAAAGAATGGGAATCCATTCTTTCACATTTCACACAGAGATACAGAAGTTAAAAAAACGGCTGGAATCATAGGCGGCAGAAGCAACCAAAGTGAAGAAGACGGGCTGTGACTCGTTAATAATATACCTTACAAACAAGACAACATGAGAAATGGATCCAACAGCTGGAATTAGAGAAAAATCAGAAGACAACACAAAGCGCATACAAAACCTGTTTACAGAACTAACAGAAAACTTTCCAGATACGGAAAAAGAATTTAACATACAGATAAGACAGGCATATAGAACCCTGAGTAGCCATGATCACAAAAAACTATTCCATGCCACATCGCAACTAAACCACCAGAAATCCAATACAAAATCAGATCGTAAAAGCTGTCAGAAAAATCCAACAAATCACTTGTAAAGGAAAACCCATCAGAATTATAGGTTTCTCAACACAGATCTTAAAGGCAAGGAGATCTTGGAAAGGGTTTCAAGCCCTGAGAGAAAACAACTTCCATCCAGCATAGGTTGATCTATCCTGCAAAGTTAACTTTCAGAACTGATGGAGAAGTAAGATATTTCCACCATAAAGAGCACTTAAAATTCATAAGCACTAAACCAGCTCTCCACAAACTTCTCAAGGACATCCTGGGAAGAGATAAGGAAGCCAGCAATGCCAAAAGGTCTAACAGAATGAATGCAGCAGGTAGGGCAAGCAGTTAGGTAGAAGAAAAAGAGGAAAACAGCAACAGGAAAGTAATACAATGACAGGAACATGCCAGTGCCTTTCAGTTACAACTGTCAGTGTGAATGGCTTCAATCCGCCAATCAAAAGACACAGATTAGCAGAATGGATCAAGACACAAAACCCAATGGTGTGCTGTAACCCCAAAGGAAATTCACAGACTAAAAATCAAAGGACGGAAAACAATATTCCATGTAGTGGGAACCTGAAAACAAGCAGGAGTAGCTACTCCATTTTCAGACAAAGTAGACTTTGAGCCACAGCTGATCAAAAGAAGCAAAGGTCACTACACACCGGTTAATGGGACTGTTCAACAGGAAGAGATGACTCAATGTGCACCCAATTACAGGGCACCCAACTTCATAAAACACAAATGGACACGAAGGATCAGACAAACCAATACAATTATAGTAGTGGATTTCAACAGAGATGGATTAAATAAAAAAATCAAGAGTTGAACCAAACCTGTGAACAAACAGACTTAGTATATAGCATGTTCTTTTTTTTTTGGTACCGGGGATTGAACTCAGGTCCTTGCGCTTGCGCAGCAGGTGTCGAAACCACTGAGCTAAATCCCCGGCCCTAGACTTAGTATATATTCAATCACAGAGGGCTCCACCCAACAACAGTATACATATTCTTTTCAGTGGCACACGGTACTTTCTCCAAAGTGGACCACATACTAGCTAAAATAAAGCATGCTTAAGCAAATGCAAAGGAATCCAAATTTTACCATGCATATTACCAGATCTCAGTGCAATGAAACTAAAAATCAATGGCAAAAGAAACCACAAAAATTATGCAAATTAAACCATGCACTCTTGAATAATTAATGAGTCACAAGAAATTAAGGAATAAATATGACACTTCCCAGAATTAAATGTTAATGCCAGTACAACATACCAGAACTTACGGAACACAATGAAACCAGTCCTACAAGAAAGGTTTTTAGCTATAAATCCCCACACTGGAAAAATCAGAACAAGCCAAATAAATAACAGTGACCTCAAGACCCTAGAAAAACAAGAATAATCCAAATCCAGAGCTTGTACCAGAAAGGAAATTATAAAGATCAGAGCAGAAATCAATGAAATAGAGACTGAAAAAAACAACAACAAAGAATTAATTAATCGAGAGCTGGTTCTTTGAAAGAATAAACAAAATACAGGAACCTTTAGCCAAACTTACCAAAAAAGGAAAGAAACAACAAATCAATGGAATTAGTAATGAAATAGGCAAACTCAGAAGGGACACCACCAAAATTCAGGAGATTATTAGCAACTATTTCACAAACCTATATGCCAAAGAATTTGAGAACTCAGAAGAAATGGAATTTCCAAAACTGAACAAAGACTTTAAAATCCTGAATAATCCAGTAACAGGCAATGAAACTGAAGCAGTAATAAACCTACCAACTAAGAAAAGCCCAGGACCTGATGGATTCGCTGCCATATTCTACAAGAACTTCAGCGAAGAACAAACACCCATAACTCCTCAAACTCTTTAATGAAATGTAAAGAGAAAAAAAACTTCCAAAATCTTTCTTGGAAGCTAGCATTACCCTGATCCCCAAAGCAGACTAGCACTGAACCAAGAAAGAAACCACAAGCTAATCTCGCTAATAAATACAGATGCAAAAATCCTCAACAAGATACTGGCAAACAGAATCTGACAAATGAGCAAACCTCATACACTATGACCAAGTAGGCTTCATCCCAGGGCTGCAAGGATGGTTCAACACATGCAAATCAATACATGTAATACACCACATAAACAGAGGCGAAGACAAAAGTCACATCATCTCAATGGATCCAGAAAGCCTTTGACAAAATCCCACACCCATTCATTATAAGAACCCTGACGAAAATAGGTACAGAAGTAACTGATGTCAATCTGATAAAAGCCATTTATGACCAACCAACTGCCAAAGCCATATTAAATGGGGAAAAACTGTAAGCTTTCTCTCTAAAATTGAGAACCAGACAAAGATGTCCACTAACACCACTCTTGTTCAACACTGTCCTTGAAACATTAGCCAGACCAATCCGGCAAGAAATAAAAGGGTTATGTTTAGGAAAGGATGAAGTCAAAGTAACTTTATTTGCAGATGACATGATCTACTTATAAGACCAAAACAATTACACCAAAAGACTCCTAGGATTAATAACCAAATTCAGTAATGTAGCAAGATACAAAACAAACACACAAATGATAAACTCATTGAGAAAGAAATTAGGAAAACAAGGCCGGGATTTAGCTCAGTGGTTCTGGCGCCTGCCTCACAAGTTGCAGGGTCCCGAGTTCAATCCCCGGTACCAAAAAAAAGAAAGAAAGAAATTAGGAAAACAGTACCGTTCACACTGGCCTCAAGAAACATACTTAGGAATTAACCTAACCAAGGAAGTAAGACTTCTACAACAAAAATTATATCACTCTGAAAAAGGAAATCAGGGAAGACTTTAGAAAATGGAAAGACATCCCCTTGTTGCTGAATAGGCAGAACCAATGTCACCAAAATGGCTATACTTTCAAAACCAATATATAGATTTAACGCAATCCCAATCAAAATACCATCAGCATTTCTCACAGATCTTGAGAAAACAATCCTAAAATTCACACGGAATCAAAAGAAACCCAGAACAGCAGAAGCAAAGCAGGAGGCAGCACAATCCTAGACTTGAAGTCATATTACAAAGCTACTGACTGAAATAGCATGCATTGGCACAGAAATTCTCAGGTGGATCAACGGAACAGAGCAGAGAAAGTAGAAACAATTCCAGGCACATTCAGCTATCTTATCTTTGATGAAGGGGTCCAAAGCGTAACCCTGGAGGAGAGACAGCCCCTTTAGTAAATGTGCTGGGAAAGCTGGCTGTCCACAGGCAGCAGATTGGGCCGGGGCCCGTATCTCTCACCAAGCCCTAACCCAAATCAAAATGGGTCAAGGGTCTAAATGTTAAAGGAGAAACACTTAATCTGCTGGAGGATAAAATAGGCAAAACTCTTGACGACACAGGCATAGGAAAGAACTTTGTGAACAGAACCCCAATTACACAAGAAATAGTACAAAGAGCCAACAGATGGGATCCTATCAAACTAGAAAGCCTCTGCACTGCAAAGGAAACAGCCCACAGAGTGAAGAGACAGCTTACAGAATGGAAACAAGTTTTGCCAGCTATTTCTTGGACAGAGGACTAATATCTAGAGTATCTAATGAACTAAAAAAAACTAGAACCCCCCCCCAATAAAAGACCTAATCAAAAAACAGGCAACTGAAATGAATACACACTTCTCAGAAGTACAAATGGCCAATAAATACATGAAAAGTGTTCAACATCACTGGCCATTAGAGAACTGCAAATTAAAACAACACTGAGATGCCATCTTATTCCAGAAACGGCCGTCATCTAGAAATCAAACAGTAATAAATGCTGGCGAGGATATGGGGGAAGAGGAACTCTTCTACATTGTTGGCGGGAATGTAAACTAGTAAAACTACTATGGAAATCTGTCTGGACATACCTCAAAAAACTAAAAATAGAAATTCCATTTGACCTAGTTATTCCCCTACTGAGCCCTGTCCTGAAAGACACATGATATTGCAGGGATACATGCACACCCATGTTTGTAGCAGCATAATACATAATAGTTAAATCTTGGGAATGGCTTCTATGTCATCAACAGATGAACAGATAAAAGAAAATGTGGTATTTACACACAGTGGAGTACTACTCTGCAGATAAAACCAATAAAACTGAGGCACTTGGAAGTAAATGGATGCAACTTGAGGCCATAATGTTAAAGAGAAATAAATCAGCCACAGGAGCTTAAATATTGCATGGTTTCTCTTATATGAGAAACTCAATGTGTGTGGGGGGGGGGCACAAAATAGAGGGCAATAAAGAGAAACTAGGGAGATCTTTTTCAAATGGATGAGAATGGAAAAATAAAGAATTGAAAGGGAGAAAAATGATGAAAATAGGGTTTCTGCAAGCAGGAAGGGGACCAAGAGTTAGAAGGAGCAGGGAGGGAGAAGGGTAGAGGATGAAACAGTAAGACATATGCAGGCACCAACTTCCCATGATAACTGTAATTGTCACGTACGATAAACATACACTAATAAATGGAAACAGATACAACAAGAGCTGCATTTCCAAGCCTTTCACCGGACTGCCTGTTGCTGTTATGACAGAGTCCCCAGTGTGGGCTGTCCCCAGCCACATGCAGACAAGGGAAAGGCCCAGGTCCATGCCCCACGGCAGAGAGGACCCCGTCACAGGCTGTGCCTTCCCCTATGCCCTCGGTGGACCTGTCTGGCTTGGCTGTTGGCCCAGGCAGGGGGTCAGGAGGCCTGGAGCAGCAGGACAGGAAAGGACGATGGACATGCCGACGTGGCCTCAGTTTAACCTCCTTTCCCCATTAGCTCACAGCACTGACCTGATCCTGCGCAGGTGCCAGGCTTCCCCTCTACACACCCCGCTCAGCCCTTGCCAGAGGCCTTTGCCGCCCAGGTCTCCTCACATCCGGGTGCATTCGGCTGAGACCTTCCCCAATATTCTAGGTATCTGGTTTTCAGGAACACGGGGTCCAGAGACTAAAAGGAGCCAGCGCCTTACCAAGGAGACCACTCCTTCAAACACAGGGCTTCCCTTATCTCATCTGCCAGGAGGGTGGCAATGGGCCTGGGCAGATAAGCGGCAGGACAGGGCGGGAGCAGCCCAGGCTGAGAGCTGGAGCTGTGCTTTCCGGAGTGTGGAGAGGACGCATAAGGACCAGAGCTCCGTGGGCTCAGGGCACCTCTGCAGCGTCCTAGATGCACCCGGAGCATGTCCGTGAGGAGCACGCTTTTACCAACCAACTTGCTCCAAACACCGCACAATTCTCTCCATACAAAAATACCAGCATCAAAAAAACAAAAACAAAAAACCAGCATCAGAGAAAATGAAACTGCTTTCCAGCAGATAAAACAGCCCTGACTCTTCAATCAAGCAGAAGTAGCTTTCAAAAATTTTTATGTGAAACATAAGAAACTAAAGATCAAAAGGACTTGACAGACTTTCTTACGCTTTGGCTGTAAAAATCTCCCCCAAATGTGCACGTGTTCAGAGACGGGATCTACACTGGGGACTAGGGCACCAGGCTTCACCCTCATCCAGGGCTGAGGCTAGTTAGTGGGAAGTGACCAATGGTAGGGGTGGGCGTGGCCTTGGGCCACCTGGCCCCACGCCTTCCTCTCTGGCTCCCCCTTCCTGGCTGCCCCCAAATGAGCGGCCTTCTGTCAGCCCTTCCACCATGCTGTTTCTGCCTGGCATGAACTGAAATCTTGAGCCAAAATAACCCTCACCTCCTGAGCTCAATTCATCAAGCGTTTGAGGAAGCTCAGCCAGCACCCTTGGAGCCTATGTATAGGGAGCAGCCCCTCCACTGCCCAGGTACCAGACCTCTTCCTACAGGTCACGCTAAGATGGGCTCCTCCTTCCTCCCGGGCCACCTCCATCGAGGGCTCCATGGCAGCCCTGCTGCTGATGAGGGCTGCCCCCTGCCTGCCCACCTGCTCCACTAGCAAAGCCTGGGTCTGCAGGGGTGGGACAGGCCACATGCTTGTCCACGTCCAGCTCGGGGGGCCTTTGCCCATCTCCCTCCTTGCCTGCTTTGCTCTCCTGCCCTGTGTCCCCTGTCGGTGACTGGGCACTGGCCTGCAGCCACAAAGGGCACGTCTGCAAGATGACACAAGGGGGGCCCTCTCGGACTCGAGAGTCTGGTGATCTTCAGGGTTTCATGGTGGATCAGAGCACCAAGGATGAAGCTGAAAAATGCCCCCACCGGAGCTGCCTCTCCAGGGGACAGGCTCTGGAGAAAGGAGCTGGCGTCTGCAGGGCCCAGTGTGCTGTGCTGAGGCTGGGCACAGTGTTCAGGTTCTCCCAGGGCCCCTGACAAGCGGGCTGGCTCAGGTCCTGAGAACACCAGAGGGGGTACACTGGTCTGTCCCTGGGGGTGCAGATGCAAGGCATCAGTGTGAACAGCGTACCCATGACACCTAATGGTGGCCACAGTAGGACACCCATAGACGCACAGGCTAGACAGTGACATGCGATAACTGAGAACATCCATGCTGAACCCGGTACAGTCCCTGAGAGGTCACCAGGAAAATCACCTGAGATCCAAAAATCACTTTATATTCAAGAAAGCAATGGCGGGACAATGCCAGTTTCAGTTCCTGTCCCCAAGTGCACTGGTACCTCCTGAGTCACCTTGTGTTTGCACTGTGAGGTGCCACAGGAGGGAGGGGAGGAAATGAAGGCGGAGCTCCTCTCCAACCAGCCAGGAGCTCCGGACAGTGGCAAGATGAGGAGCTGGAACACATGCACAGGGCCACACTGAATGCCAAAGTCCCCACCAACCGCAAGCTCCTGAAGGTCACTTCCGCCCTGTGCAGTATTGTTTTCCGCCTTCAATGCTAGTGTGAGGGACTTTGTCCACACCCCAGAACCTTTGTCCCATGGTGAATAACGCTCTTTATCCTCGCAGAACATGAGGACCTGTTTCCCAGGTCACTAAAGCAGTGCCACAGCTCCCTCACTTCAGGGCACAGCCACAGACCAAGGTGCCCACGTCCCGCACCGGGGCCAGCCCAGCCTGCAACCGAGCCAGCCGCTCACCAGCGCGACTCCAGGGCCCTCCTGGCCTCCCAGCCCAGGCGGCCAGTACGCAGGGCCAGGAAGGGAAGGCTGGTCTGTGCCGGCAGAGGGACAGAACACTCGCCTACGCTTACCACACAGACGACTTCTGAACATCACTCGGACATTTTGTGCCTTTTCTTCAGGATCCTCAGGTGCATGCTGTCCTATGTGACAGGATCTGGGAGACAATAAATCTGATTAGAAGCCACTTATGACAGAAAATTTATGACAGAAACGTGCACGTTTCTTCGGGTATGATTAATGTTTCTTCGGGTATGATTAATTGTTGCAGCTTCCACAGGCAGTGTAGCATTTGACCCACAAAGTTCTGTTGCTCTAGGCTATCATTAACTACTAAGTCACTGCACTTGTAAGTCTGAAGTACTAGAGAACCAACTGACAAGCCTGGAGAGACTAAGCTATTTATTTACTTATTTGTTGTTTTGAGACAGATTCTTGTTATGTTGCCCAGGTTGGACTCCAACTCATGGGTTCAAAGGATCCTCCTGTCTCAGCCTCTGGTCTCTGGGACTACAGGCAGCTCCACTGTGCCTAAGTGTATTTTAAACCCTTCAACTTCCCTTCCTGCTCTGTCAGCCCCAGTGTTAAGTAGGAAGCTAGAAGCCCAAATCTTCAAGAACAATCCCGGGGAACTCCAGACCAAACGTGGCCAGCCTTCATCTCAACCATCAGCAGACTGTTTCTGCAGCCACAGTGAGGAACAACAGGGAGGCCCGGGCCCTGCTGGGGAAGAGCGAGGGGGGAAGTGCAGGCTGTTGGTGAGGGTCTCGGCCAACCCTGTTTCCCCGGGGCTCTCAGGACCCTGGCGGGGAGGGATAGAAACCCTCCTAGAGGAGTCGGTCTGGCCAAGAGCAAAGGCGGAGAGACCAGACAGAGGGCAGACACGCTGTCCAAGGACGGAGGCTTTGGACGCTTGTCACAGTTCCACCCTACAAATGAAGAAGCCTAGGACACGTCATGAGCAGCAGCCCAGAGCGGGGAGGCAGGGCCGGGATAACCGGCATTAAAGAGGACAGAGTGCGGAACACCGGTGACATCTAGCGCTGTTGTCGCCAAGCAGGGCAGCACGGCCGGCCGACAGGCAAAGGTTTCAGAGGGGAAGCAGGACTGCAGCGTGAGGGACTTTAAGGGGACACCTACTCGACACAGAGTCAAGGGAGGCAGGCGTCCAGGGTGAAACGTAAGCAGACAGAAGGGGGCCCTCCATCTGCAATGGTGACACTGCTGAGGGACAGGGCGGCACTGCTGGGAAAGCCAGGCCTGGCTGCAGGGTCAGCTCCGCCCCCTGGCCGCTCAGACAGCTGGCTGCAGACAGAGCACAGGGAACTAGGCCGCACTGCGAAGGCCAGGTGCCCCTCTCAGGGACCGCTTCATGCCCACCACTAGTGTAAGATGGAGCCAAGTAACAACGAAAGGGAGGGAGGGATGGAAGGAGGCGGCAGGAGAGAAAGGGAAAGAAAAAAACACAGAAAAGCACCAGGAAAGGAATGCAGGGCAGGGACAATGCGTGGAGAAGAGAACTTCAAGAGTATAGCTATAATTCACATTCTCAGACGCACGAGCCAGAGAATGATGTGTGAATCGAAAAGAGGAACGTTCTGAGAACACCATGGTTTCTCAAAAATAAAATCCGACGGTAGAATTAAAAAATATAACAAGATTGGGCAGGAGGGAGGAAACTCCCAGAAGAACTGACAGATGACCAGGTGGACAGGAGAGAGGAGAAAACAGGATCAGACAACGTGAGGGGCAGCCACGAGGACACGAGACGGCCTCACCACAGGTGGCCGCAGGTCCCACAGCACAGCGGGTGCCTTCGAGTGTACAGCAGGCCTGGGCCGTCTGCTCCACACCACAGGCTCTAGCAGAGGGGCCTCCTGGGGCAAGCCTGTCCCTCCCACTCCATCCACGACCCGCCCAGACAGTGCTATTCTGTGTACCCCTCAGCCACTCCTGGGGTGAAGCCCAGAGCCCCAGCCAGGGTACCAGGGACTAGAGAGGAGCCGGGCAAAGGGATCCTGGACTCGGGGAGGACCAAGAGGTGGGCATGTCGCCCACTTTAGGCATCACGCATGGGGGTGCAGCTCCTGATACCCGAGGCTGTGCACTGCTTTTGTCCCCTGACCGACCCCAGGCCAGGCCCCGCTGGTGGTGGCCTGTGCCAATCCGGCACTGCAGGATGATTCGGGCCTCTGTCCCTCGGCACTCACTGGACAGGCTTCTGCCCCAGGCCTCCAACAAGCTTCCTACATCCTCGGAACAGCACCTGCGGCCAGAAAGCCCAACCCCTCAAAATAATGCACTTAAAAAAATGACCTCCCATATAGTAACTTTATTCAACTGCTTTCCGCACTAACCAGCCCCTTTAAATGCTTACTAATATTCAGAGCTGCTTCCCCGTGAGCTGTCTTGGCAGTGTCCTGAAATCTAAGGCTGGGTTGTGAAATACAGGACTGCCCACTGTAGCCAGGTCAACAGCAGGATCTCTATGAGACCAAATCCCTGATTTTATTTTATTTTATTCTGGTATCGGGATGGAACTCAGGTCCTTGTGTTTGCGCAGCAGGCAGCGAAATCACTGAGCTAAATCCCCCCCCCCCGATTTTATTTCTATAAATTAAAAAAGCAACCAAGAGAACAATCACTTGGGAAAGCAGTCTGACACTTCCTCAGAGGTAAACACACACCCACCTGTGACTCAGCTGTGTCTACTCCTAGGGTTCGCTCAAGAAAAACCAGCCAGAAGAGGAAAGCAAGTGCAAACCTGCTCCGAGCAGCAGGAGCGCAGTCTCCCAGGAGGAAACGCCCCACACGCCACCGCATGAGGTAAACAAACAAACCTAGGCAGGTGGGAGACAGACAATGGTGTCTTTTGCCAAGAAAATGAAAGAAATGATCAAGGCAAGCACAACTTGGGTTAAACGCCAAACACTGGGCCCACCCCAAGAAGTGGGACAAGGGCCAGGTCCAGTGAGAGTCTACCGGCATAACACCCAACAGCGGACAAACTTAGCGCAAAGGAAATCAGAGCGAGAGTCTGAGCACAGCGGGAACAGTGACCAGGCAGAGGCCCAAGGTCGCGCCGAGCTGGGAAGTGGGAAGTGCAGCTGCTCAGCTCTGTGCATAGGTGAAGTTCTCTAAGCCGCTGCCTACTTCATGTTATGCTTTCACCATGTAGCAGCTGGGGCCCTGTGGGCAGAGGCCCCGTCCTGGCTGTGTCTGTCCTATCAGTCACTCAGGAGGGAAGCCCTGCCTTCGACTAACTTCTACTCAAAACTCCAAGCAAGTTCCTTAAGCTCTTCCTGTCCCTGCTAGCATTACAAAATGTACTCCATACAGCACAGCGAACGAAATAAGCAAGCAGACAGCAGCACTCTTGGGTGCTTAGTCCCTACTGAAGTAAGCAAGCGTGATTCTCACACCGCAGTGCCAGGGGTGCCTGCCGGAGCCTGGCATTCCAGTCCGGAGTAAGACACTGTTCAGACCTCGCTGCTTACTCTGGATCCCACCTAGGAGCAGACAGGCAAATCTGGGCAGGCACAGCAGCACAGGACCAAAGGCAAACCTTGCTGGAGACCTAATTAAGCAAACTTGGGGTCTGCGCACCTGGCACCAGGTGCCATGCAAGGCTCCAGGGACACACAGAGCTTTGGCCCCAGGAGATCCCCAACCAGCAAGGCGGGAATGAGCCCCAAGGAACGCACCAAGTGTTGTTCCCAAGTCAGGAGCACCATGACAGGGAGAGAGCAGCAGCAAACTCTGTCTGGGGGAACTGGAGAGAGCCTCAGTTAAGACAGCAGCACGGGTGCTGCTGTGACAAGATGTGGACGGATCGGCTGGATCCGACGCCAGAAGGAAAGGCAGTGGCCATGGGCCTCATGTTACTGTCTTCTTACTCTTGTGGTGGGCCGCTTGAGCACAGGGTGTGTCTCCGAAGCCATGGCTCTCTCCCACTGAAGTGCACAGCATGCCCAGGGCTGGGCTTGTGAAAGGGCAGTCAGAACTGAACAACTGAAACAGGGGAACTGGAGAACTGGAAGAATTCAAAACATTTCAGTGTTGCTGCAAAACCTTGTCTCCAGAGAAACGAGCACTTCTCTAGCCGAGCCATCCACCATCCCCAGGAACCGGACCACCAGCCTGCCAGAGCTGGCCTGCTTCTCAATTCCAGACATCCACAGCCAGGACTGACAGCACCTTTAACGCCAATGCCGAGCCCCTCCCCTGAATGCCTGTGTGCCCCAGGTCGCTTCCTTCTGGCTTCTGGCTCCAGTTCTCCCCACCATCTCCTATAGCTCACACACCCACAGCCCTCAGCAGGCTCCCACCCTCACAGAAGTCGTACCTCAGTCCTAGGCTCCAACGACCCTTTCCAGGGCGGCAGGCGCTACCCCTCAGGATCACAACACAGGTCCCCATCAGCCCTTCGAAGCCCTCTAGAGGTGCTGTGCGGATCGAGATCTCCAAATCTCTAGGGCCGATCTTTACCCTTCTCCCTTGCACGGTGCCCATTTCAGTTCCCTCTGCTACAATGCCCTACCTCTGTGCTTCTGCTCCTGCTGTTCTCTCCAATTAGAAGCCACATTCATTCTCTCTCTCTGCTTGGCCAAATTATTCACCTATCAATTTTCAAGTGCCCGCTAGCAGTAAGAGACTGTAGGAGAACTTAAGTGTTTTCAAAACTACCAGGTACTATACTAATATAAAGCATTATGTTGGTCCCACACAGAGCCCAGATTTCATTAGAGGAATAATATGATTCTACTGAATGGAACTTAGCAACAAGCAGACTAAGATCAGCAAGATAAGAACATGTCTCCAGACAGGCAAAGGAGCCGGCACAGAAAACAGAGCCAAATGACAGTTGCATTAATTCACATTCTAGAATAGGCATCCCAAAGTGACACCAGTATTCACCTCAGGACGGAAGGGTCATCTCTTCATCAGCCGCTGGGGGAAGAAAGAGAATAATGGATTCTCATTTGTTTTAACTTTTTTAAGCAACAGGGTCTCCTAATGTTGTCCAAGCTAGCCTCCAAGTCCTGGGGTCAAGCGATGCTCCTGCCTCAGCCTCCCAGGAAGGTGCCACTGTGTCCAGCTTCAGAAATATCTTAAATTCAAGGTTGAGAGTTCCCCCAGCGGCCTTTGTCTCCTCCACAATCTAGAAAGGGACAGTTATCAATCAACAGCAAAGCAAAGAAGTGTATTTTCAAGCAGGAAGAACCCAGGAAAAGAAGAATGCTGTATAACAGAGAATTTTAACTTTGCCTAAAGAGGGCTGGCCTGTGTCCTTGGCTAACAGCATTACCAAGGTGGGCTCTGGCCACATGGAAAAGCCTACGAATGTGATTTAGGGTGGGGGCTACAGGTCACACAGTCTCAGTCTACCTGGAAATGAGGCCAAGCAGGTGCCAGTCCATCCACTCACACGCTGTTGCACATCCCACCAGCAAGGTCTTCCTCCACAGGCCAAGGGCAACGGGAGTCTGGCACGTGGTACTCCCCGCTCCCTCCTATGCGCCACTCCCACTGGCTGACTTTGATTTGCAGCCTTTGTGTGTAAGGAAGTGAACCAGCTGTGAGGTGCTTTGAGTCCTCCCAGTGAACTTCGGGACAGGAGGGTGGTCTGGGAATCCCCACCCCAACTTGCAGAAGTTTTCAGAGGTGGTCATGTGTGGAGTGGGACTGTCACTCCACACTCTGTAGCTCTGAAACACTCACAGTTGACCTCAGCTCTTCTGGGTTAACTGAAGTATCATGGGACAAGATGGTCACACTCCCCCTGGATTTTTAAAAAGGGCCAGGAATGTAGCTCAGTCACACAGCACTTGCCTGGCTTCCACTAGGCCTTGAGTTTGATCCCTTGTGAAGTGAAAGAAAAGGCCATACTTTCTGTCTCACTGAGAGCCATTCCGATCCTTCTAATACCTTCCTATTCTTTTTGTTTGTTTGGGGGTTTTTTTGGTACCAGGGATCGAACTCGGGACCTTCCGCTTGTGAGGTAGGCACCAGAACCACGGAGCTAAATCCCTGGCCTCTTACTTTCCTATTCTTAAAGAGGACTTCTACTGCTTTTACACTACACTGACTAGCAGGGCTAGAAAGTCCCAATTCATTTATTTGTCAACCAAGGCAGGCTCTGAGCTACTAGTAAGAGAAAAGTCCAGCTGCTATTAATGAATCCTGTAGGAAATGACCTTTTCACACGTATGTTGTGTGAACCTACCAGTCTAACTCCAGAAAGTACACAATCTAAAGAACTTTGTAACTAACTCTTATATTTCAAGGCTGTTCAAGAAATGAAATCTAGTTAATGCTTCTGTTCCAGGCCATTTTTTCAACTATCCCAAGAGCCTTTTACTTTAAAATTCTGCCTCCCTAGCAAGCATTTAATGGTATTTTTTTAAAAGGTGATCTAAAAAAAAAATAATAAAATAAAAAAATAAAAGGGGTGACCTCAGACAGATAAATGTTGCAAAACAACATCAAGAAGATCAGAATCAGCCAGGTGTGGTGGTGCACACCCGTAATCCCATCCCTCAGGAGGTTGGGGCGGGAGGATCCCTGTAAGTTCGAGGCCAGGCAGCATGGACTACATGGTGAGACCCTGTCTCACCCCCCCCCATCAGAATCATCATCTGTGAAGATTTTAGGAGAAAACATATACTGACCCAATATCTGGGTTAACGACTGGAAAATAAATACATGTGCATTTAGGTCCACACAAAGCAGATGACAAAGAAAGCCCCACGTAGAGCCCCGACAGCAAGAGTAGCTAGAGTCTTGTTATTCCAACTTCACTGCTCAGTAAACTGATTGTTCAGGAGCTCATAAAAATGACTGTGTCTATTCAAGGGCTAGCAGAGACTTAGTTCTCAGAGTGATTACAACTCAGGAGGGATGAACCTCACTGCCCTGGAGGCTGACCGGATCGGCCCAGATCCCCTTCAGGCAACTACCCTCCGAGATCACTGTGAGGGGCAGAGAGGAGGTAGCGAGGAAGTTAGGCAAAGAATAAGAAATTTTAAAATCGTAAAAGGAAGGGCATAACAGAAGCACGTTCGGAGACCATGTGACTGGGAGCAAGCTCACCGTAATGCATGCCTATAAAAATCTCTTCCCGGCTTACAGAGAGGTTTACAGCCACAACGTAAGAGAAACCCCATCATTAGCTGCAAAGGGGAAAACCGTGGCTCGGAGCAGCGAGTGTTACGCCCAAGGGCAGGCAAAGCTGGAGCTGCAATTCGGGCCCTAACCCAGTAAGCACTAAGTGACCAGGCACCGGGCTGCGAAGTCCGGCGCGGGCACCGGGTGACTCGGAGCAGCGGAAGGTCGCAGGTGCGCGCCAGGAACAGAGCCTGGACGCGGCAGGGAGTGGCCGGGCACCGGAACCGGAGCCGGCCCTGCCCAGTCCCGCACTCACTCACCCGAGGCCCGGGCGGGGTCGCCCAGCGCTGCGGCTCCTCCCGGCCGGCGGCGGCGACGGGGGCGACTACAGCGGCCGAGGCAGGGACGCATCATGCGGCCGCGCGCATGGCCGGGCCGGAGCACACCCCCCGGTTCGGCGTGCTTCGGTCCCGGCCGGCCGGTCGTGGGGAGTCGGCCACCGAGCAGTCACGGGAGCAAAGAGCCCGGCCGGGAGAGCGGGCTGTGCGACCCCGGAAGTGGACCGGAGAGGTCACCGCGCCGTGCGTGTACTTCCGGCCGCGCCGCGGAGCCCGGAGAAGGCAGTTTGGGGTGGCTCGAGGGAAGGCGGAGCCCAGGGTCCCCCTGGAGAAAGGGGTGTGAGGCCTGTCAGTCCCTTGAGGAAAGGCACTTACTAGTTGCGAGACTTCTCCCTGAAATCTAGAGTCCCACCCACACTGAGTCCGGAAAAGAAAGCATGGGGAATACGGGCACTCGCGAGGTCCAAGTAGCGCCTTTAGCCCGCAAACGAGGCCGAGAATCCTTTCCGCAGGCGAGGGCCGAGCGGGAGCGAGTGTGGTGGCATCCCATCCTCGGATGTGGTCCCTACGGAATGCGGACAGGCAGTGTGGGAGCCCACCTGGAAACAACTGAGCCTGAAGGCCTTGGGGGAAAGGGGAAGCGAAATCTGAATGCGAAAGGCTCTCCGCAAACCTTCCTGATAAGTACTCGGTGTTTCTTAAAGATAGAAAAGTTCGAGGCCGGGGATTTAGCTCAGTGGTTCCGCCGCCTGCCTCACAAGCAGAAGGACCCGAGTTCGATCCCCGGTACCAAAAAAGAAAAAAAGAAAACTGTGCTTTGTTTCCTTGGTTTCCCCATCATTCTTGGGACAGCTTCTTAAGGGCCGGAAGTAGTGCTGGCTTAAGTGTGTGTGGTTAAAGAGTAACTTCTCCCTAATTGCTCAGGCCCTTGAAGGCCTTAGGACAGCTACAGACCTGTCTGCACACCCCTGGGTTGTAACTGGCCCTGCTCCTGGAAACTTTTACTCCAACTGGACTTTTAGAAGTAAAGAGTGCATTACTTTATCATAACTTCAGGCCTGTGTTTTAAAATTTTGTAGTTGTATCCTGTACATCTGTATGATCAAAATGGTGCTGTGCATTCAGTCAGTATCTTACTTTTCTTGTTGCTGAGACAAAATACCTGACACCCAAAGTAAAGAGAGGAAAGGTTTATTTAGCTCCCCTTTAGTTACTTTTCTTGTTGCTGAGACAAAATACCTGACACCCAAAGTTAAAGGGGGAAAGGTTTATTTAGCTCACAATTTGTAGAGGTTTCGATAATCAGCTGGTTCCAGCTGGTTCCTGCCAGGGTGGCTTGGCAGACAGGCATCAGAGGAGAAAGTTCATGGCAGGCAGAAGATAGGAAAAGCAGCAAGCAAAGGGGAGGACCACAGCTCTTTCTATCCCTTCTATCTTATCCAGGCTACTTAGGGCGGGCAGCACTCACACCCTTAATCCTAGTGCCCTTGAGCTGAGCATTGCACCATGAAGCAATCTCAACTGCACACACATTAAATCCAGCCACTTCTGAAAAAGCCCCGCCTATGACTGCGTGAGGCTTTGAGGGACATCTAGACACAGCCATAACAGTCAGCCCAGGCTGGAGATGTAGCTCCCCTGGCAAGCACAAGATCCTGAGTTTGATCCCAGGTACCGCAAAAACAAAAAACTGTCATCTCATATTGGGCCTGGTATCTCCTGCTACCTTTAATTCCATAAGAAGATAGGCCTCAGGCCAGGGATTTAGCTCATTGGTTTTGCCGCCTGCTGCACAAGAGCAAGGACCCAAGTTCAATCCCCAGTACCAAAAAAAAAAAAAAGGCCCCAGGCGTGGTGGCAACACCTGGTATTCCAGCACTGGGGAGGCTGAGGCAGGATTGCCAGTTTGAGGCCAGCCTGAATTACATAGTACTGAAGACTCCTGCAATTAGGTTCCAGTCCCCTGCCTGGAATATGATGAAAGCCTGAGAAATAAATACACTAAGAGACAGGACCAAGAGAGAAAGGGGGGGGGGCAACCAATGCCAATGCTGGTGCAGTGGACAAAGGTGCTGGACGGTCCCAGGCACTGACTTTTATTGGCAATCAATTGGGGTAAAGGCGAGCTACATGCAGTTTCTATGGAAATTAATGTAAACAAGGCTCATAAAGAACAAGACAGGGCCGGGAATTTAGCTTGGTTCCAGCACCTGCCTCTCAAGCGAAAGTTCCCAAGTTCGATCCCTGGTACCAAAAGACAAATTAAAAAAAAAAGAACAAGACAAAGCATTCTCGAATTAGGAGTAGAATAGACAAAATATATGGTTGTAATTACAACATTGTCCTTCTAGTCAGAAGGTTTTAATTGTGGGAATGGAATTTGGGCGCGAGTTACTCTGACCTTAGCACGTAGGCTTCGGCCAGCCTCACTTCTATAAACAAGCCAGCTGTGAGGTTGACTCTTTATAGCCTGCTTTGGGCATAATCAGTATTACGGTCCTCTGCTGAGCCAGGATTGTGAGTTCGGGCCAGCCTGAACTATATAGGGAGGCCCTGAAGAAAAGGATAGACCCCAGTCAGCTGTCACTTCCTTCTGAATATGCTAAAAGAAACCACAGTTGTCTTTGGATGACCCCAAGACTGTAAAGAACATTGTTAAAAGCATCTTTCAAAAAAAGGCAAAA